AGGAAGTTCATTACTGAACTTGGGGTGATACCTACCATCTCAGATCCAATAACTTTGTTCTGTGACAACAGCGGTGCCATTGCACAGGCCAAAGAGCCTAGGTCACATCAAAGGACCAAGCATATACTCAGGCGATTTCATCTCATCAGAGAAATCAACGATAGAGGTGATATAAAAATATGCAAAGTAGCAGGAGAAGACAATGTTGCTGATCCTCTAACAAAGCCGCTTGTGCAAGCAAAGCATGAACGTCATGTTAAGTCAATGGGAATTAGACAAATTAATGATTGTACCTAGTGCAAGTGGGAGGATGTTGGAAATTGTGCCTTAGGGGCCAATCATATTGCTATGAACATTGTTAATTTATGAATTTATTAATTATGTTATCATATTATTTGCATGTTTACTGTGATGACTATCCTTGGATAACTCATGGTTTATCCTAAATGTCCCTGGTCGGTCATCTATGTGGGAGCAGAGATGAAATAAGACCAGTATGACTTTAAAGATGTATAGAGATATAAATTAAAGTCATAGGCACCTGTAAGAGTACAAGGTGTTGGACCGACCCGCTATGAGAGAGCTGCATGGGTTAAGTCATGAGCTTCTCTTATATATAAACCATGTCACTGTGCCCTTTGACCTAAGATCATCATGGATTCCTACATGAGAAACACTTAGCTTTGACCTAGTCAAAAGTCACTTTTGACCGAGTGTTCATAAAGACTATGTTCAGGCTTAGTGGCTTTTCATATGGAGGAATGTGAATGGTCAAGATGGAATTTGTCCCTCACATTCGTAGAGAGATATTACTGGGCCCCTCGATGAGTGAGTCTGAGAAATGTATGGCCATACTATAATGGAAAGGTAGTTCCGTTTCTATACTCAGACTACTCAGGGATCGAGAAAGTAACGGTCATAAATAGGAGGATGACGTTCTCCATGCCTTATCCATGACCAAAATGTCGTGTAACAAAAGGGACGCAATATGGTTGTATGAAAGGTTACATCGTTCAACGATCCTCATATGATTTGGGTAGTCGTGATGTCTTGCTAGAGACCGCTTATGACTTGTGAGTTATTATAGTTAATGGCCCACTGCCAACTTCATATGGGCCTACAGGGTCGCACACAAAATAGCCCAACATGAGTTATGATGTCCAGATTCATTGAATCTAAGATATGTCCAGATTCAATGAATAATATAGGGTGGACGTGTATATATATATATAAATTCGTGTATATATATTATATAAATATAAGAGATATTAATTGTTAGATTTAATTTATAAGGATAAATTAAATCTATATAAATTAATTCCGTCATATCTTTATTTTGAATTAAATAAATAGGTGAATTAAATCTGTGAGACGGATTTAATGTAAACCATATTTATTTAATTGTTCTCTTATCTGATTAGGCAATATTTGATATTGTGTTAATTTCAGAATTATTTAGGATTAATTTCGAAATTAAATATTATTCATTAAACCTATAGCATCCTATATATTTGATATGAGGAGCTAGGGTTTTAAGCATGAGAGTGAAAACACCAGCAGATAAGAGACAGCCTAAGATAGATAAGAGTGGACGGATTCTCTGAAAATCCTAGACGGACAAAAGGACGCTAGCACGCTGTTTGTGACTGAAGAGCTATTCGTGTGGATATCGGTAGAGGAAGCCGACCGGAGTTGTCGGCTTCAAATGACAAAGGAGGCGAGCAAAGGCATCCTGAATGGCGGAATCACCGAGCCACGAGGAAATCGAACATCGAAGGTAATGCTTCTTACTACCTAACTTAAACGCGATCGGTAGATCCGGACAAGGGATTGATTTTTTTTTTAAATTTATTTCCATTGTGCGTTTATCAATCCCCTTCAAGTTATTATGGTTGGGAAGTCAAGGGAATCAAAAGAAAAGCAAGAGGAAAGCTTGAAGTACAAGGTAGTGAACTTACCCTTTTATGTGCTTGATGTGGTATGCTTATGTGTTGGTTTGTATTTGTTGATGTTTGAATGATGTTGTGACATGATGATTGTTTTTGAAAATACTGTTTTTAATATGTTTCCATGGCCATGCATTTTTACACCAAGCATAAAGCTTGATGGCATGTCACTAGTTAACTTAAGTTTATGGAAAACTATATACCACACATTAGTATCCACATTGTGCATGTATATGGTAATGTTTGCTGTTAAGATTCTCCCAAATCTCACCTCTTCCTAACCAACCATTTAGGTCAATCATTGATGGGCAATAATAGCATGAGAAGCAAGGAGAAGGAAGTGGAGAATTATTGATGTTAATGAATGAGATTATGTTCAATGTATAATTCTCCTATGATATAAATTATGTTTATGTATGCTTTGATGCAATTTATGCATGTAGAATATTTATGGCATGAATGAAAATGTATGAAAATGAATGGGAAAGAGTAAACACATGTTATGTATGCCAAAGAAATAAAAAGAATTAAAACAAGCAACAGTAAAGGGATAAAACGTAGGTCATGAAGCAATTGGTTTCGAGTTTCAGTTTGACCTATCAAATGAATGAATTAAGCCATGAAATTTGGCAAGCTTATAGTACACATCCCAATCTTTCAAATGAGCGGTATATCACCTCAATTGGATCTATACACAAGGAGATATGTATTTCCAAAGTTGAGGTACAAAATCTCAAAGTTCCAGATTTTACTAAATAAACAGTAATTTTTAATGATTAAATTGTACGAATTGGCCCAAGATAATTCTAATTGGATATTTTTTCCTTAAAGAGTATTGAAAGAGCTTTTTGTAAAATTTTGAAGCAACTTCATATGATTTTTTTTAGAAATTTGGACCTGTAATCTGGAAATTGTATAGTGAACAATGATTTTACGAAAAGTAATGTCCAGAATGTAAATTTTGAGCATAAGGTCATCCAATGTGGTTAAAAATGGTTAGAAATGGATTCTAAGGTATTATATAAGTAAGGTGTAACAACTTCTCTTGTAAATACCTTATCAATCTTCACGTGGATCCTCTTGTTGGTCACCCTAAATCTAGGTTGAGAAAGGAACAACCTCTGTAGAGACTCCATGTGAGCAAACTATCTAAAAGGAACAGGCTAAATGAAGGAGGCAAAAGTAGATGTTATGTACAAATTGGTTGATATATAAATTTAGCAAATGGAAAATAAACGGGTGGTGTTAGAATGATTCTCATCATATAAAACCGTGGAAATCAAAATGAGATAGTCATATATTAAATGTAACAAAACCAATTATTACCAACATACATTACTCTGTAGCTTCACTTGTATGAGACAACCACAGTTCCTTAAAAGGCCAAAAATTTATTGATTCCACTCTTGTTGGGAGGAATGAAATAACATCCTATTTATACCAGTGATAACGCTTTTAAAATTTGATGACGGAAGACCTGTAACGGCTCAAATAAAGCCACCTCCTTAATTAGAATGGCTAATAGTAAGCCAAAATCCATTAAGTGATCATACCATGCATGATTTCATCAACTTATGAACAACGATTTTGGGTTTGAAGCGATGACTAACCTGAAACAGGATATGGCTCCCCGGAATAGTTGTTAACAGGTTATAGATTGGTTTTGGAACAAATCATTTGGATTTACTCATTTTCAAATTAACTCTCATTGAAGAAACTAAAGCTTTTGCCATTGAAGGCCTAATCCAAGCGAACTGTTCAATCCATTGATTTCCTATGGTTTTCGATCCATTTCGTTTTCATTCCGAAAATTCCAAAAATATGTACTTCATTGCATTGTTTTTATTTTATTAAAATGATTTTCAAAACCTTAATCATGCTTTTAGTTTCATTTTAGGCATTTAGTTTCCTAGATAATCATTTAATAAGACTCCCTAGAGATCAACCCGAGTTTGTCGTTTACTACATTTAAAGTGTGCTAAATAACAGTCGAATCAGATGATAGGAGATCTTAGGTAGGTTGTGAGTGGAATTTGACTCAAATGGGGAGATAAGTTGTTGAGGCATTCACAATGGGAATAGGATTTACACCTTTTCAGTGTTTTTGTGTTCTCATTAGTTGGGGTATTAGAGTCTGTTCACTTTTTTTTTTTTTTTTTAAATTATTGCAATCCAAGTTCTTCTCGAACTCCTAAGTAATTATCAAATTTTAAGGGACTTTTTTGTAGTATTTTGTTTTCTATAAGACTCTAGTGTCATTTTCCCTCTTGCTAAACCTTGGAGAAAACTCAACCTAGCTTCACTTTATTCAATATTTAAGGAATGCTCTTCCCATGAGATAACAGCCTAATGCTTTGAGCATGGAAGCTATAGGTCTTCATCATCTCCTTCTCTAGAAAGCAATAGCAAGAGATCGAAGTGCGACATTAAAGAAGATAAGAAAGATGTTTTGTTAGTTTAAAGTGACAATTGCTCTACTTTAATATACTTAATTAAAGATAAAATTTTACCACTAAAAATTTTATAACGTTGGATGCATTTTAAAAAATAGTTTAAGTGTTAAATGCACTTTTACCCTTTGAAATTTATTAAACATTTTATGATAAAGTGTTACCTCTAATCTTTAATATAAGACCTAATTGACTAATTTGAAAAGATTAAAAAAATTAGTTAAATTAATTATTTGTTATGAATATGTGTTGTTTTTCCTAGAATACCCTTACTCATCATGTATATTAGTTAGAATTACCATTTAAATATGTGAACTACTATAAAGACTATTTTAGAAAAAATAAATAAATAAAAAAACAAAGTGGATTGAGATTTTATATTTAGCACCAAATTAAAATTCAAATAACTCCTTATATTAAGGACGAGAGTTAGTATTGTATTTTATATAATTTTTGTTGGAAAAGTTACAGTCCTTTATATGTAATTTTAACTTTTTTTTTGCCCACCCTTACATGTAATTTTAACAATTAGGAGTCCCCGGGCATAAACTCCTAATCGCTAGACGCAGTTAAATTGCCAGGTATAAGTGTGATTGCCCTTGCGAATTTGTGGAAATCGAATCGAGAGGTCGTACTACTAGCATGTCCGGCTCATTAGCTTGCAGTCATTTCTCTGGGTTTGTCTCCCTCCCAATTTATTTCTGAAGAATTCCTTGGTTTTCAATTCCATTAGATTAGCTTCGTGTCTCGTCTAGAAGATGCCCTTAGCCCAAGATCCATTCTACGTTGTGAAGGAAGAGATTCAAGAATCTGTAAGTGTCTTTCTCAATTCTCCAAAGATTGCCTCTTCTCCTCTATGTTTATTTGGGAAAGTTAGTTGCGAATATTCGTCTAAAATTAGGTCGAAAGTTGAAACCAATTTCTTGAGATCAGTTAGTTGACACGATTGAGTGTCCGAAACCTAATTGCTTCATTGGGCAATAATAAATATGCGTCGATGTTAATTATTGAATCTGTTTTTGATGTTTTTATTGACCATCGGGAGTTTCTATCTGAAGCTCCGGGGTGATGGATTTGTTTAAGTCTTTTTTTTTTTGCGCCACGATTTGGTTATGTTATTCTTAATGTTAATTTGGAGATTTAAGAGATGCCACAGCCTATCTGTATATTTTTGCTGCATTTATAACGATTTTGAGAGGGTTGGAACAGAAATCACTGACTTGAATGGAATATATTAGGTATTGGGATTTGTTGGTGTATTTTGGATGGTATTGAAGTTACGTTGAATAATTTGTGGCTTGTTTCATTTTCCCCGTAGATTGATAAGTTGCAATCTGCTTTTCACCAATGGCAAAGTGCTCCTTCTGGTGCTGGCGAGCGACTGAATCTTTCAAAGGAACTGCTTGCCAGTTGTGAAAGCATTGAGTGGCAGGTAGATTCATTGACATGCGGAGTCTGTGGCTAGATGATTTAACTTAATTCATTGTGATAAAATGAATGTTAACAATGGCATTCTAGCCTGTATCAGGATCATTCTCATGCATTCGCTCGTCAGTTTCTTCTTTTTGGAATTATCAGTCACTTTAGGACCTCTGACCTCTCATAACTTTTTCCCCTATTATTCTCTTTGTCCTTTTTTGGTTGTTCCTCTACAATCTAACCTATCCAACAATTGCTCAAGGCCGTTATTTTGATAGAAAGGTAGATGAATTGGAGAAAGCAATTGCTGTGGCAGCTAGAGATCCATCTTGGTATGGCATTGATGAACCAGAGCTTGAAAATCGGAGAAGATGGACCAGCAGTGCTCGGAGTAAGGTACATGAAGTATATTCCTAGCTTTTGGTAAGAGGAAGTAAGATCTAGTTAATTTTGTGTACAGCAAGCTGTGTCGTACTGGTTAACCCAACTTCACATTTTTACTACTTTTTTTTGGGCTAAACAAAGAGATATACAACAAAAATTGTAGGGGCATTGGCCTTTGGGGGTTAGCAATCTGCTGTCTAGAAGCATCATTTGCATTGAAGATTTTCCCCCCAGATGCAATTGAGGAAGATTAATTGAGTGTCATTATCAACTTTGTAGTGCAGACATCTGTTTTCTTTTCTTTTTTCTTGCATGCATCATGTATTTCTTGATATGTGGGGATTGGCTGAATGATTATAATATATTGTTAGGTGGGCAAAGTAAAGGAAACGGTTGAGGCTGGAAAGGGATCAAATATGGTGACCCGTGATAATGTGGAAATGCATCGAGAATTGATGAGGCTCCCCAATTCCCATCAAGTTGATACATCTAACCAGTATGCTGCCCATGATAATGACGATTTCATATCATCTGAATCAGATAGACAGCTGCTTCTAATAAAGTACTTCATTCCTCTCTTGCTCTTGTATGCTTACAGGTTGAATTAGAAATTTATCTGTGCTCTAACCTTGCTTACTATCTTCATATTTTAGCTGACTTCTATGCTTATCCAGCAAATATCAGACCAAGCTTGATTGATAGTTGAATTGATTTCCCCCTTCACCAGTTATAGAAATCTTCCTTGTTTACTTTTCCTCTTAATGACCATTCATCCCCTGTGTGCTCTACAAAGACGCTAGTGAGCTACATATTACCTGCATGAACTTATGCCCATTACGCACGTTCACTCATTTCGTGTGCAGCTATTGTCATTGAATTATCCTGATTTGGAATTCAAAAACAAAATTGATGTAGATCCAACCCATTATATATAACACTATCAATTACCTGTAAATTTCTATTATTATTTTTTTTGTTATTTCAATATACTGTTTCAGTCTGGACAAGGTTTTTAAATAATTGCCGCTGGAAAGTTTTCTTTTGTGTGGATGAAAAGGAAAACAAAGAGTTCAAGACATTATAAAATTTTTTCCGATAGACATTGGCAGGTGATCTTGACATGGGAGGAAACAAAAAATAAGTGCTCAAGAGTTTATGAAATATATGCGGCATGCATATCTTTTGTGGGAAAATAAAGCCTACCACCTATTGCTATTTTATTTTTGATTTGATATTCTATCCACTGGTTCTTATAGGCAACAGGATGAGGAGTTGGATGAGCTTAGTGCCAGTGTACAAAGAATTGGAGGTGTTGGGCTCACAATACATGAAGAACTCCTTGCACAGGTAATGACTTTGAAATATGACATTGGTTCTTACCCTGCTTTGCTCCAAGCGTCTTCATGAAAAAGTCAGGTTGTTGGGTTTTACCCTGCTTTGGTTTTAGGCTAGCTTTGTTTCTGTAACAAGTTCCTCATGCGCTCATGGTAAAACGTCAATCGTGGTGTTTCAGGAAAAGATTGTGGATGAACTGGGTGCTGAAATGGACAGTACGTCAAATCGTCTAGACTTTGTCCAGGTGAGTTTCTGCTTTTATTTTCATTCTTGGATAAAAACGTTTACGCGTCTGTGGTAGAAAATATTGACTATACAGTGCTGTCGTGAAAACTTGAAACTCGCTTGAAGTATAAATTTTGATACGAATGTGAGAACTACGAAGAAGTGAAATCATTTTATTTATTATTCTTGCAGAAAAAAGTAGCGATGGTGATGAAGAAGGCTGGCGCGAAGGGCCAGATCATGATGATACTGGCTTTGGTGGCCCTGTTCATTTTCCTTTTTATTTTGGTATTCTTCACCTAGTCATCAAGTTGGGCCCAGTCTATGCGGTCTTTATACTTGGAAAGGATCTCAGTTTTGTGGGGATGCATGACACTTGAGACGATGGGATATTGTCTATCTATGTTTATTAAATGATAGCCTTCTTGGATTTTGAAAGGCAGTTTGCTGAATTTGATTGTGAAGAAAATTAAAAGCAACATACGTTTGGAGTCACCATATCTTTCAGACTGTTTGTTCTGTGTAAGTTGGATTACAGCGATCATATGCACTGATTGTATTCTTTATTCTTAGCTAGTATGCGCCGGTTGTTCCTCTGAAATGCAGATGTTGGAAAATTGTTGCCGAAGTACATAGCATATATAGACAAGGAAGTTCAAGAGAAGCAGTACAATTAAACATAGGTTTTTGCTGAGCAAATCATCTAATACATGTATGATAGAAAAGTTCTTTGAAAAGTGTATTGAAATGAATTTGTTCATAACTTATTAAATATAGCGCATATTTCTTGTTTTGATAATTTTAAGCCTTTTTTAAATCATGAGTCTGCGCTTCAAAAATTTGGGAATTATTTTTACGAAGTGAAAAAGTAAACATATATATGCTTTTATGCCTGCTATGGACCACCTTTGTAAATAAACTGCATTATTTGTATTTTGGTTTGTTATTTTATTTTATTTTTTACATTGTTTTATGAAAATAATGATGAATTTATTTAGAACATATCGTATATAGCTAATATTTTTTATTTTAGAAATTTTGAAAGTTTTCTTAATTATGAGTCTACGCATGACAAGTTTAAGATTTGTTTTTACCAAATGAGAAAGTGAACATATGCCCAATTTTTATGCTTGCGGTTGACTAGTGCGATATTTACTCTATTTAATAGATTGTACAGTAAAATACATCAATCGCCTTTCTAGTTTATCTCAATTACAAAAACCTCCCTTCTATTTTAAAAACATATACAAACCTCCCTTAAAATTAAAATGTATGTTATAAAACCTCCTTCCTATGTTTAAGGTTCCATTTCCATCCATTCAAACTGTTAGTTGACAGTAAAGTTTATACACTTATATTTTTCAAAAAATATTTTTTATAAAATAAAAAAAATTCTAATACATATATTTTTAAAATTTATAATATGTTATAGAATTTATTAATTTCATTTAAATAATAAAGTCTCATCATTTTAATTGTTTTATCACATTCATTAAGAATTATTTACTTTGATTTCTTTTATATTGTAAAAACATATTTCAAATACATAGTTTTTGTTTATCATAAAGTTTAAATGACATAAGTTTAAAAGATTTTATAAATTATTTAAATTTATGATTCAAAACTTTTAAACACATCTTTGTTATAAAAATTTATAAACATATTTAGTTAGTTATATATATTTATTGGAAAAATTAGTTAACTTTTTAATCAAGTCTTTTATGTTTGCCTTAACTAAATAAAATTTGTGCTATTGTAAAAATATAATTTAGGGATTTATTAGAATGAAAGGTAAAATAGTAAATAAAATTTATTTTAATATAAATTTCAGTTAAATAATACTTTTTTAGAATCTTTTAGAATATTCTTAACAATGTTAACTTATTGGACTAAACTGTATGTTTTTAAAATAAAAAGGAGGTCAATGTAATTGATGCAAACTAGAAGGATGGTCGGAGTATTTTACTCTAGATTATATTATTTCTATGTTGACTTTCTTTTGATTTTATTTTTATTTTTATATATGAAATAAAGAAAGTATAGATGTGGGTGCGAATAGTTTAGGTATTATTTTTACGAAGTGGGAAACTAAACATGTGTCTCTTTTGCGATTTTCATGTTTTTACTTAAATTACGTTTTCTTATTTTGATTTGTTCTTGATTTTTTTTTATACTAATGTATAAAATTAATGAATAATGATGAAATTATTTAGAACATATCATATACGGTAAATATTTCTTATTTTAAGAATTTTAAAGGTTTTTTTAATTATAGGCCTGCAGTTGAAAAGTTTAGAAATTATTTTTATAATGTAAGAAACCAAACATATGCCCCATTTTATGCTTGTTTTCGACCCCTCGATTTTCACTAATTTAGCAAATATTTCTTATTTTATGAATACTTAGTTTTTTTTTTTTTTGAATTATAGGTCTGCGCTTTAAAATTTTGTAATTATTTTCACTAAGTATAATATTTACTTTTAGACCCATGCGATTTTTACTTTTTTTAAATAAATTGCATCATTTATATTTTGTCTTGCTATTGATTGTATTTTTTATATGGATGTATGAAATTAAAGATGAATTTATTTAGAACATATTATATATGACAACTACTTCTTATTTGAAGAATTTAAAAAAAAATTTAATTATGGGTTTGCATTTGAAAAGTTTAAGAATTGTTTTTACAAAAATAGAAAGTAAATATTTGTCCTTTTTTATGCTTGCTGTCGACTGTGCGATTTTCACTTTTATAAATAAATTGTATTATTTATATATTTATTTGCTATTGATATCATTTTTATTCCTTGGTATGAATGAATAATGAATCTATTCAAAACATATCATATATAACAAATATTTCTTATTTTAATAAAGCATAGAATTTTTTAAGTTTGGAATTGTTTTTCGCTAAGTAGGAAAGAGAACATGTGTCCGTTGTGGTGCTTGCTTCTAGACGTGTGAGATTTTCACTTTATTAGATAAATTGCCTCATTTATATCTTGTGATGCTATTGTTTTTCTTATATTGATGTATGAAATAATGATAAATTTATTCACAAAACATCGTACATAGCAACTATTTCTTATTTTAAGAATTTTAAGATTTTTTTATTATGACTCTAGGCTTAAAAAGTTTAGGGATTTTTTCAATAAGTGTGAAAATGAATATATGTCTCTTTTTTATGTATACTATAGTCTCCTCCAATTTTCAATTTTTTAATAAATTGTATTATTAATATATTGACTTACTATTGATTTAGTTTTTATTTTTAAGTACGAAATTATAACGAATTTAACATCATATAGAGAATATTTAGAGTTTTTTAAGAATTAATTTTACTAATTGAAAAAGTGAACACGTGTCTGGTTGTGGTGCATGTTTTTAAGTTTATGCAATTTTAATTATTTTAAATAAATTATATATATATATATATATATATATTGGTTTGCTATTTTTATTTTCAGATTGAGGTGAAATTGATCATGAATTTAATCAGAACATATCATACATAGTAAATATATCTTATTTTAAGAATTTTAAGAGTTTTTAATTATGGCCCTGCACTTAAAAAATTTAGTAATTTTTTTATATACAGGAAAGTAAACATATTTTTTTTCATGCCTATTGTTGACCCATGCGATTTTATACATTGTATTATTTTGATTTTATTTTTATATTTATTTATAAAATAAGTAATATATTTATTTAGAAATTACCATATCCCGTAAGTATTTCTTATTTTAAACAATTAATTTGTATTTCTTAGTGTTTATATCTTAAAGTTACTGGGGGGCTGTACATATTATTATATTTTATGCAATATATATTAACAAAATGGGTTAATACAATTTTTAGTTCTTTAAATTTGCCCTCATTTTGATTTTGGTTCCTCAAATTTTAAACTATAAGTTTTGATTGCTCTTGTTTTTTTATTTAAAGTATTAGTCTCTATAATTCAATAAATACATGAATTCTTTTGCTCCTGGAGAGACTTAGAACTTATGATTTGAAATTTGAGGGATCAAAATCAAAATAAGAACAAATTTAAAAGATTAAAGATCATATTACCCCTGACAAAAGTAGTCTAAAATAAGAAGTTAACAATGGGTGGTGCGACTAATTGCTTTAAGACAAATCAATCATATTTACAATAATAACTTAAGATAGCAAAATTAATTGTCATTAACATGAAACTATTTAAATTAGAAAAGTCCTCGTTGTACACAATGTCGGAGGCTTTGTTTTTCAGATTTCAATCCTAATCTAAAATTAATATATTCAAGTTTTCTTTCTAACAACAGTGTTCACTTTCCATTCTTCTAACACTTGGTCTCAGACGTATAAGATTTTCATTTTTTCAAATAAATTGCATTGTTTATATAGTGATTTGCTATCAATTTAATTTTATGAAATTAATGATAAATTTATTCAAAACATATCACATGGAACAAATATTTCTTATTTAAACAATATTAATAGTTTTTAAATTGTGGATTTTTGCCAAAAAATTTTAGAATTATTTTCACCGAGACAGTGTTTCATAACTTGACACCCTCAAAGTTTAGATTAACAAAACAATCATTTGTTTGTCGCAGGTGCAGAATGACAAAATCTTATGTCCACGGGAAATTTTTTTTTTTTAGCCATCATTTCCATGGGAATTTGCATTATTACACATAAGATATATCTAGATGGTAAACATTGGGCCGAAGTCAATCCTTGATGGACTAGACTGTTTGATCCAAGATAGGAGAATCTCTTTGATCATGTAAATCAGTAACAAATTAGAGGCAACAATTAACTGATTGGGAAATGTTCAATCAAGTATTAAGAACTTAACTGATTGGAAAAAAATCAATCAGACATTAATTATTGATTGAGAAATAAGAATATTATCTCACAATAAATGAGGGAGATTGCACTTTTCTGAAACAAGAGTTGTCCTGACCCTATTAGTCATATCTTCATAATTATCATCTAGAAGGTAAGGGACTTAGGACTGACCAAAGGCCAGGTAGTGTAGTAAAAACAAAGACAGAATAATTTTTGTAGTGAAACCTAAGGAAGGACTAGACTGTTATTTTCAAAAGTTCCGGTTAAGGATGGATAAAACTAAAAATTATGCCTGAAATTCCTAAAAATTTCTAAAGATTCATGAAAAATATAATAAAGGGTTTAGAATAGCATTTGAGGTCTAAAAGATGACAGAGTAAAAATAATTTATTTTAGAATTTTCTGTAATTATTAGTATTTTTGGCTAATTAAGGTGAAATTGGACAAAATGAATTATTTTAAATATATAGAAGTCTCAATAATTCACATAAAAATGAAAAAAAAATTATTTGAGAGGTTATTATAAATTTTAAAAGTTTTCCTACCCTCTAACAGTGTAGAGGCTAGCTTTAAAATATTTAAAGCCAAATTATGCAGGTAAAAGACCGATTTTGGAAAAAATCAAATGGAAGGAGTTACATGTCAAATTTTGACCTGATAAAAATAGGAGAACCTGATCAAAGGAATTTATTGGTATAGATAAATAAATTTTTAGAAGTATTGGATTAGACTGGATCCAGGAAAAATTTAATCGATATTAAAAAATTATATAGTGAATAATTTAAAGGTTAGTGGATCAAAATTTTTTCCAATTTTTTGGCATGGTTTGGCACCAAAATGGAGGGAGAGGACATTGATGGAAT